AAAAGCTAGCTTTCCGCAGTGGATATTGAAGAATTCGTGCAGCAATCCTTCATATGAAGCTCCCGTCAGCAAAACAGGAATTGGGTCCAGCTGTCGGTCGAATAGAAACAGATGACTAATCGGTTGGTCTGGACGTGCCCGAAGTTCATTGCTGGAGCACAGTGTGTGAACCATATTCCACAGTTGTTTTGGTTCGGCACCTAGTCCATAGACAGTTGGAATCACACCATAAAGATTCTGAAGTGCCACAAACATGTTTGCCACGGAAAACAAATCTGGTTGAGCTGATTCCACATGCTGGAGAGAGAATAAATCGCTTTCTAGTGGTAAGAGGCACATATTCAAGCTAAGCTGTGTGATGTTTCCAATTACTCCGGATGATTCAAAAACTAGATCACATTCCTCCAACTGTCGATTACACCAAATCACGCAAATCGATCTATTATCATTCGCTTCCTCCGCGTACTCCACTATTTTTCGAGCGTTGTCGACGTTCGGTCGTAGAAAAAATACTCGTTGATCGATTTCCAGATCCCAGACCTAAATAGAATTTAAAACTGGTTTTTCTGTAATCAAAAAGTACCGACTTGTGGCGATTTCTTCAAATCAAAATGCATGATTCTCTTGACTCCATGACGTTTCATATCTGATGAAGTTGCAATCATATCCAGCGGCCGAAGTAAACATTTATCGATGAAAAGCTCTTTTGTGCCTGAATTTTCCTTCGTTTCCATTCAATTTGCTAGATTTTTATACCTGGCAACGTCTCCAAATAGTGTATAAATTCCCTTTGCATTAACATACGAAGTAAGTGAAGAGTTTCATCAATCTCGAGCTCCGCTGTGCTCGGAGCCATTATTCTAACTCATGAAAAGCTATGAATTGGAAGAAAAATGTGGAATTTTTCTTGATGTCGTCAAATCAAGCGCATGCAGACCAACGCACCATATTCGACGAGCATTGCGAGACACAGTATAGGACGAAGAGACGCAGAGAGTTTCTTTTTTTTCAGGCCGTCTTGGCATGCAACAAGCTGCCGCCGGGCTCCCACCTCATCAATTCGCTGCACTTCTTCCAATTGCCTTCGCGAACCTTGCCAGTCAACCAGATCCATCTTCTCCATTGCATTCTTTGTGTCTACAGGTAATTTTCATATAGAAATTGGTCGATTCAAAAGTTCACCTTTCAGCATGTTCTCTTCTTTGTATTCCATCATTTCCCGGACAACATTGTCAATGGGCTTGATTTGGCGTTGGAAGGATGTAACACTAATTCAACACCTGCTTCACTTTTGGATGCTATCGTTGATAAATTGGAAGCAACGGATTACTTGAAGAAGAAGAGCTCGTTCGACCTAGGAGCTGCCAAAGCCGATGAATGTGCCAGTGTTCTATCAAAGAGACTGGATGAAGCGAGAACAAAACTTCCTAATTTCTATGGGTAATTAATTTTTTAAAAGTTATTCTACTCCAAGATTAAAAAATTTTAGAATCTGGTCTCGATACTTGGATTCGATAACTCGTCTGGCTCAACTATTCCTCTTCGTCCCTATTCGAGATGGATATGAGCCTAATCAAGCGGTTTCAATTTTGCAGCGAGAATGTTACGAGTATTTCGCTCGAGTTGCTGCAGTATTCTCTCCTCTTATTGCACCGTACTCCCCAACGCATCCTCCATTCTCACCGTCCCACGAAACTCAGGCAATGCTAGTTTTGGATCGATTTGTTGAATTCCTTTCTGCGCTTCATTACAACTCGAGTATCCCGCCAGGAATGCAGAATATTCAATCTCTCGTATGGCAGTTCTATTGCGAGAAGCTCTCCATGCTGACGCATGGAACTGAACACTACTACGGTGTCATCGAAAGACAATTGGTCCGGTTGAACTGGCAAGCGTTGTGGCCATCAAGACTAGCTATAACTGCGATGGAGACTTGTCTGGATACTAGATCTAAGGATTGTGCCTCTTTTGTATCCCAGATTGTAGTAAGGATCCCATGGAACAGCATTCTACAAACAATGCACGAAGACAGTCGAACCAGTTATATGGCTTCACTTTTTGGAGTTCTTGTTCGACTAGCTTCACGAGCTGGGAACTACGATAAAGTGCGAGCTTCATTACTTGAACTGACGAAATCTTTGTCTCTTCGACAAGACTGGAACATTATAAGCTTGGAAGACGCATCGAATATAGCAATGGCTGTTACAAAAAGTCTGCCATCAGATTCTCTGTCTCATCCCATCGAAATAGTGTCGGTTATTCAAGTTATATGGAGGAAGATTTGCTGTTTCGTTGCTCGTGAACCGTACTCGGAAGTGTCTCTACAGAAACAAAAACTCTGGATGCAAACAGAATGCGCGCTTCTACTCGAAGCGGATTCAACTCAGATTCCTGCTGCCTACAACTCACTGGTCTCGGATGTGAATGCGTTGGCTGTCAATCACTGTGAGTGGCCTAGAAAAGCCGGTGTGACCGAAAGTTCCACAACTACCGTAACCTAGAAATGTTTCTATTTCCCACTTTTTAAAAATCTGAAATTTTTTTCGAAGTAGGAGTTCCATTTTTGCATCACAAAAATGCCAAAAATAGGTGAAAAATTGACAAAAAGATTTTGAAAACGCAAAAAATTGGGAGTATCTTAAAATCTGTATTAGAAGGGCCGGCCCTCCTATTGTTCCAAGGTACCTCCGGAGGACCCTTCTATTAGAGGAGCCCTTCAATTAAAGGGAGGCGTTTCTTTTTTCCGGACATACCTTTCCAAAATTTTTCATCGAAAAATGCAGTGATATCTCGTTCAAAATTCATGAAAATCTATCAATTTCACCAGAATCGAACAAAAAAGTGTTTTAACAAAGTTCTGTGAAAAACTCATTTTGAAGGGGACCTATTTTCCATGTCCCTCTCGTAGAGCCCTTCTATTAGAGAGACCCTTCTAATACAGGTTTTACGGTATACCTAGGTTAGGGTAGATGTCGTTGTGGGACCTTTGGTATAATATTACCCCGACAAACACTATAATTCATAACAATTTCAGCGAATCTACGCGAATTCCGGGTTGTGACCAGAGAATTGACAGCAATGTGGAAGAACATCACCGATACGAAACTCGGAGGTTAGATTCCGTTCTATAGAAACTTTGTAAGTAATTTTATTTTCAGAATCTCTTGTACGCCTGTGGACTGAATATCTTCTAACGAATCCAAGTTCTCCGTTAGTATTGACTTCAGTCAATACGGTCATCGATTCATTGAATGCAGATCAGCTGACAACTGCATTAAAAGTTATTGAGAAAATCATTAGGGCATATTTTTTGAGTAAGATTTGCTTATTCTAATATTTTCCCAATTTCCTTCTTCAGGAACAGACAGTAACTGGACAGAATTGATGCACTGGATACAGTTTCCAAATGGAAGTCTGAAATCTATTAAAAGTTATCTCATGACAGTTCCATCGTCGGAAAACAAAGTCCAAATGCTTCCACTGACTTTGCGGGTTTTCATGGATTACGGTGGTTCTGATGATAACAAATTCTTCGATTTGCATTATTATGTGGTCAGCATCCGTCCGAAGCATGTGACCTCAGAACCCGGTTTCATGTGCCTCCTGGCTCGTTTGATTCAATGGATTGCTCATCGCAGCCCGACACTTCCGGCACACTTTGCTCCAACAGACGATCTTCTTCCGCCTCTCATACGGTTTCTAGGAAAAGCTTCAAAAGACGAATCGAGTTTTCTCACTGCCTTGATTAGCAGCAAAAAGACATCTCACTCTCCAAAGTAGGTTCATTATGGAAATATTTTGAAAAAAATCTCGGGATAGGTCAAAAATAGCCTACCTAGACAATTCTGATAATTTGAGAGTCCGCACGCCGGTTTCAGTACGAGAAATTTCAACCTTTGTTTTTTTTTTTGCAAAAAAAATTCTGCTCAAAAATTTGACTTTTTGGAGATCAGAATTTTTGAAAAACGCATTTTCCTGCAGAATCCTCAAAATTCCCTCCGAAACAATTGGGTATTCTCGAATTAAACTGGTCGGTTTTGACCTTTTTTAAGCCTTTTTTTGTCAGCTAACTTTCAGCGAAATTTTTTTCAGTGAATTTCAAGCTTTTGGATTCTGCAAAGTTTGAAAAATCCCAAAAAAAAACCAAAACTTTGATGAAAAACATATTTTGAAGGTGCTGAAAATCGTGTAGATTCACATAGAAGAAGGTGGAAAAATACCGTAAAACCTGTATTAAAAGGGCCCCGTACTATCAAATGTGAGCTCATTTATCTCGGTTACTGTAAAAGTTATAAAAAATTTGTCAACTAATAAAATGTTTGTGATATAATGATAAACAATTGATCAGTTTACCACTTTTTGATAGCTTTCACAGAAACCGAGAGAATTGAGCTCAAAGTTTTAAGTTAGGGGGCCCTTCTATAACAGATTTTACGGTAGCTGTGTTTGCACTGAAAACAAGATTTTTTTTTGTACTGAAACTTGTATAACTCGGCTGAAACTTTCAAACAGATTCAGGATTTTTCAGGAATGTCTAGACAATCTGTTCTTGATCTATCCTGAAATGTTCATTTGGAAAAGTTCCCTTGTAAAATCGAATACAATTACAGAATGCGTGTGGTGCTTCAAATCTTGGAACTTACCTTACTCAACAAACCCTCGGAGAAGGAAAACGACCAAGATGCGACGCAAATTCACCGGTTCTCAACTCACGGATCACAACATTAAAAGACCTTGCTCAACAGAAGTCAAATCAAAACATGAGTAACGCATTCAACAAAGCGACCGCCTATTTCGTCCAGATTGACACCTATCACATCGGGTCGTCCTCGAAATTACTCCTCGAAATTGGACGGGCCGCTTTCGGAGATCGCTTTCTCAGTGATGTATAATTGTATTGCCCCATCAACTCTCTCACCCATACTCATTTTTCTTCTTCCTTTTATTTGACAGCAGCAAATTACGGGTTGAATGCTCATTGTTGTTTTACCCGTCTGATTCAGTTTCCCCTTTTCTTTGTGTAGTCTTTTCATGTACGATGTTTTTAATAGATTCGAATTGCACCCTCCTCTCGATTTCAATGAATTTTTATTATTTTTTCCCAATGGTTCCAAAATCAATGGCAAGCGTGCTCCATTCATATGTCTTGAGGAGCCAGCGAATCGATAGGCTTGAGAGCAGGAGGGATGTGCTCCTCTTGGAGCAAAATGAGAAAAGAGAGAATTTCTTGAAGAGACGCAGAGGCGAAAGTGAAGAAGCACAATATAACCGCGCGCCCACTATTACTTTTTGTTTTGCAGAATTTTTTAGGTTTCCTTTTTCCGGTTTCTGCAGAAAAATCTTAAAAATGTGATATTTAAATTTCAGGGGGGTTTGACCATGGTTTTGTTACGGATCGGAGTACCACTACTCCTGTTGGCAGTGGTTGCTCAATGCGCGGAGAAAGGCGATCCGTATGAAGTACTCGGTATCAGTAGGAGGGCATCGCCAAAAGAAATCAAGAGTGCTTATAAGAATCTTGCCAAAGAGTGGTAGGTTATTTTTGAAAAAAAAAATAATTTCTTTGTTTTTTTTCATAAATTTTCAACGATCTTCTCCGTTTTTTTCAACGTAATTCAGAGGAAAAATGGTTTTAAACTATGAAAATTGTCGAAAATTGATAAAATATTCGAAAATAGGCTCAAAGCTATAATAGTCTGAGTCCTGTTTTCAGCTGATTTTCAGGCAATTTTCAAATTTCCGGGAAATTTCGAATTTTCAACTAATTCTCGATTTTTTTGAATTTCCAACCAATTTTTGGATTTTCAGTTAATTTCCGAATTTCGGAAAAAAAAGAAATATTTAATGGCTGGAAACTCAAGAAATGGAAAATTGGCTGAACATTATTTAAAAAGATTTTGAAAAATTGAAATTCTGAAAATTGGCCGCGAATTCAAATATTCCAAAAATTAACTGAAAGTGCTGGAAATTAGAATATTAGCTGAAAATTCAGAAATTCGAAAAATTTTTCTTTAAATAAGCGAAAATTCTTATTGTCGATTTTCAGAATTTTCAGTCAATTTTCGATTTTTTGAATTTTCAGCCAATTTTTGAATTTTTGAATTTTCGATTTTTTCAGCCAATTTTTTTGGAATTTCAAAGAAAGATTTAAAAAATTACCATAATTTTTCATTTTCAGGCATCCAGATAAGCGGAAAGATGACGCTGCGTCGACGCGCTTCATGGAAATCGCCGAAGCCTATGAAGTTCTTTCGGATCCAGTCCGAAAAGAACGCTACGATAGGTTTGGAACTTTTGATGATGTGAAACATTTTGAAGATAACGCCGAAAGGGCCAGATCCTTCGTAAGTGATGACATTCTTTAATTACTTAATATTCCTTTTTTCACAGTACGGTTTTAATGGTTTCCACGGATTCGGAGGATTTGGGTTCGATGAAAATGTGTTCGAGTACAAGTATCGCATGTCGTATCAGCAGTATCAGTTCAAAATCCTGGAGCAATCGAACACCAAACCATACATTGTATATATTTACTCCAATTACTGTCAAATGTGCTACCGATTCCATCCTCAATGGAAACAAGTCATTGCTGATCTCGAGCCCCTTGGATACGGGGTGGCTACTGTAAATGGCAATAGAGAACAGAATTTGATGGAGAAGATGAGAATTTCACATGTGCCTGCGTTGGTTGCAATTGTTGAAGGAAGAATCATTCCGATGAGAGTGGATAATAGTTTTAGTGATAGGTAATATCATAAATTAAATCAAAATGTGAGGAAAAATATGTAGATTCATGAATTTATCAACAAAAACATATTTAGGAAATTTCAAAACCTCGAAAAATCGATTCCTGAAATCTTCTGGAAAGTTCTTTTATCGAATTCCCGCCAAAACTGAAAACTTTTGGAATTTTTGGAATTTTCGATTTTTTCTTTCTGGAATTTTTGGAATTTGCACATTTCTCATAATTTTTAGAATTTTCGGAATTTTCTGGAATTTTCAGTTTTTAATGGGATTTTCCGATTTTTGGAATTTTTGAAATTTTTATGGTTTTCGAATTTTTTCAGAATTTTTTCGAATTTTTCGAAATATTCAAACTATTTGGAATTTTTCGATTTTTCGAATATTTCTGGAGTTTCTGGAATTTTTTAGAATTTTTTGGAATTTTTATATTTCGAAATAATCGAACTATTTGGAATTTTTGGAATTTTCGATTTTTTCTGAAATTGTTTTTTTATGGAAATTATCCGATTTTCCCGAAACTTTTGAATTTTTCTGTAATTTTTGAAATTTTTCGAAAACAGTTCTCATCCACTTCTCGAAACCTCTGGAAGGTTATCGAGTTATTTTTTGAATTCCCGCCAAAACTAGAAACACTGAAATTTATGAAGTATTCGCGTTTTTTTTTGCTATTTTTCGAAAGAAAAAGGTATTTTTATTCGATTTTTTGCAAAAGTTTTTAGACCTTTTTAGGTTTTTCAGCTATTCTAGAAGATTCTTTTTCGTTTTTTCCGATTTTGTTTGGCTGAAATTCGACGGAACGGTGTTCGTGAAGATTACTGTAGGTTACTGTAGAAGGCTGATTTCTTTTTGTAGCAAACACAACCACGTCAAAATGCACTATTTTTGGGTTGATTTTTGTGACTGTAAAAGGAAATTAGCATTCTACAGTAACCTACAGTAATCTTCACTAGCACCGTTCATTCAAATTTCAGACAAAAACTTAGAAAAATCGAAAAAAGAATCGTCAAAATTAGTTGAAACCCCTGAAAAGGTCTTATAACTTCTGATTTTTCTCTCAAAAAATCGCAAAAAGGTCAATTTTTCAGTGTTTTCAGTTTAAGCGGGAGTTCAAAAAAAATTCCAGAACACTTCCAGAAGATTCTATGCATTTCTATGAATCTACATACATATTGATTTATTTAAAAAAATAATTTTCCAGATCCATCGTCGCATTTGCCCAAAAAGTAATTCCAAGTTATTTCATGACGAAGATCAACTCTGGAATAATGCTGACTCGATTCGTTGAGCAATGGAAGAGCACAAACAAAATCTCAGTGATCATTCTCGGCGCAGCTGTTAATCCACGAATCCGTTATCTGCTCGCAGCGATGAAGCACTCGCATTTCGCCCGATTCGCCTATGTTTCATTGGCTGAGCAATCAGAAGACGTTCGAATTTTAAGAGAATCTGTGGATATCAAATGTGTACAATGCGAGAATATTCTGATTTATGGAGATATGGAACATGAGGATGCTGTGGATCGCTTATCAATCAGCGAAGCAAAGAAATTGACGATGGAGGCACTGGATGAATTCATCGAAAGAAACAAAATGCTCACTTTACCCAGAATATCATCCCAAGTGATGCTCGATGAAGTTTGTCCAGTCTCCTCTCGTTCTCCACGTCATCTCTGTGTTCTTCTACCCGTGACGTCGCATAGTTCAGAAGCCGAACATGTGGATGCCTTCAGAAGATATGTGAAGGACACTCAAACTATGTGGAAGGGGAAGAATGTCAGATTTGCTTATATTTACGTTGATAGGCAAAAGGATTGGATGAAGCCGTTCGCGGAGAAAAGAAAGGGAGAATTGAAAAACGAAGGAAGAGATCTACTGGTATTCTGGAGGCTAGAATACAAGAAGGCAAGATTCGCATGGTTGGAAGGAGCATGGACTGGAAATAAAGAGACTGATGATGTCATTATGAATGTTGTTGAGCAAAAGAAGCGGCTGGATGAAACATGCACTGTTGGAAACATCAATGATGAATTCGGGCTATCCGTCTTCACCAAAGTCAGTCGTGCATTCTGGAGAATGTGGGAGGTGGTGTGGTTCCACGTGTCAAATGAAGAGACCTACATGTTCTTGTCAGCTGTTGGAACTCTTTTCATGATCATGTCCATTGGATGGATCTTCAGTTATTTCAGCGAAAAGCCTTCTGATATCAAGAAACGAAAACCGAAGGCTAACGATGTCGCTGATTTGACCGGGGATCCGACTACAGGAAACGATTGGCATCCGGATGATCCAAATACAAAGAAAAAAGAAGGGGATAATGGAAAACAGTCAAATGGAAAATCAAAATGGGCAGTGGCAATGAAACCGTTGATTCATGAGCTACGGGCTGAAACCTACTTTGGAATGATTCGACTTTTGAAACCTGGATGTAGGTCGATGATTCTACTGGTGGATGAAGAGAATAAGGAATCATTGATCAACAAGTTCTCCCAATATGTCTATCCTCTCAGAAAGTAAGTATAATTCCACATTAAAAGTTTAGGAATCTAACAAATCTCTTTCCAGCAACAAAACGTTCTCATTCGGCTTCTTGATTGTTCCCAAAAACTTGGATTGGTTCCGAAAACTCCTGGAACACACTTTACCAACCGACGGGAAGCCAACACCAGAACCAGATGCCAGTCAATCGATGTACAAACGATTGAAGCTGATCAATCATCGTCACACAATCGGAACAGTTTTGACGCTTTGTGGATGGAAACTGTATTTCTCAATCTACCACCCAAAACATGTAGAACTTAGTCGTCGGAACTTCATTGACACTGACGAGGATCCGAGCAGTGACGATGAAGCGTCGTATAGAAGTGACGAGTTTGCATCGATGGGAGAGAAAAAGAAATTGCACAGAAGCTCTTCACAACGAGGGGTTAACATGGAGAACGTGCTAGATGGATTCCCCAACTGGATGGATCGGTTACTAGAAGGATCTATTAGAAGGTAGGTCTATCAGATATGAAAAATCATATTTTTCAATTGATTGTCGGACATTTTGACTATTTTGAAGAGTCTGGAGTTCGGCTGTCAAGTTACCGAGCCCTTTGAAAACTTTGGAGGGTGTAAAACGGACCCAGATTAAAAGAATTCCTAGTTTTTCAGATATTTGTCGATTTTTGAAATACACCCATGTTGGCAACTTTTCGCTCAAAAATGGCTACCGATTGTTGGAATCCGACCAATCGGAGGTTTCCATCGATTTTGGATTTTGTACTCCTCGTAGACAAGTTGACGTGCGAAATTTGAATTTTCGGGTTACAATGCAGCTTAAAACAATAAACCACTCGAAATTAGAAAAATCGAGTACAAAATTCAAAAGCGATGAAAACCTCCGATTGGTCGGATTTCAATGATTTTTAGTCATTTTTGAGCTTTTGAGCGGAAAATTGCAAAAAGAGTGTGTTTCAGAAATCGGAAAAAAGGAATTTTCCAAAATTTTATGAATGCAAAATTTTCAATCTAGGTCTGTTTTCATCCTGCAAAAAGTGATCGAAAACTTGACAGCCGAGCTCTAGACTCCTAAAAATGGTCAACATGGCCCAAAATCGACTGCAAAATACGTATATTTCAAGAAAGAATTTTTTCAGATACTACATCCCTGAGTGGCCGGATAATCTGAAGTAAATCCACAACTTGTTTCCCACACACACACACACAGCCGATTAATTTCTTCTCTCCCGTATGCATACGACTACATGTTACGAATTCTCATGGCTTTCTCTCCACACTCTCATACTTGGTGCTTTGCTCAAAACTCGTCTCAACTAGTTCACAAGACTACTTTCATACACAATTTTCGATCTTTTTTTCCATTTTTGCTTCAGTTTTTTTGTTTTTTAAATGTATATCAAATCAATAAGTCAGTGTGTCACTTGTCAACCGCAATCTCTCTTTTTTTACTTCTTGTGCGAATAATAATAATTATTATTATGGAGAATTCATCATAATCATGATCATAATAATAAAAGAGTAAATACATTAATTTGAATAAAGAAAAGCTGAAAAAATGTAGTTATATCAATTTTATATCTTCAGAACCTCTTTATGGATGTTCGGAACCAAGGTTTGGAGTACGGTACTTCAAAGGCGCACGCGAAAAATACGGTTGTGGGTTTCGAACGGAATTACTTTTTTTGAGTTTCTGAAGTTTTTTGTCACTTTTCCACCAATTTTCGGCGTTTTTCTTTCTGAAAAAACCAATGTGAACAGCTTTAAAACTTCAAAATCAATTTTCAGAAAATGTCTGTCAGAGCCATGGTGGTGAAGAAAACGATAAACGGAGGAAAGGGGAAGATTTCTGAGTTTTCCGATGGAACAAAAGCCATATTCCACTATCAAGCACTGTTTCCAATAGAGAAACCAGAAAAAGGACAACCGCTTCCAGTTGAAAAGTAAATTTTCATAAAACTGAAAAATATTTTTTTAAGTGTCTTATCGAATGCGATTTGAGCCATTTCAGCCGATTTTACTTATTTTCAGCGTTTTTTCAGCTAGAAACAGATCGAAAAAACGGATTTTTCAGCTAAAAACAGCCATATCGCTCGAAATTTCAAGAAATTCGATTAAAACCATTTGACTGATTTTCATCGATTTCAGAGCGTTTCCAGTTTAAAATAAAGGTCAAAATCGTATTTTGACCATGAAAATACCATAACTCGGTAGTTTTTAGTCATAAAAAGACCTAAATTGGATATACGTTATTTATTAATTCAAATTCATTCCAGAGATAGCTATCGTTGCATTGACGACACCCGGAAAAGTTGGCCAGATGGATATGGAAAACCGCTGGAAATCGTTTTCGGCAAAAAGTTCCAGTTGCCAGTTTTCGAGCATTGCCTGAAGACAATGTTGGTCGATGAGATATCGCAATTCGACGTCGAGTGCATCGACCTGGTTCAATATCCTTTTGTGTCGAAAAAATTGAGAGATATTGTGAAGCCGTGTGATGGAAAGAAACACGATCACGGTCATACGACTCATATGTGTGCGGCTAGTGTGGCTCAGGGGTTTGTGGAGTTGATTCTCGGCTGTTTCGATCATTTCCAGGAGTCTAAAGCTCGGCGGTCAAGTTTCCGATCACTTTATGAAAGATGTAAAACAGACCTAGATTGAAAACTTTGCATTCACAGAATTTTTCGAAAATTCCTTTCTTTCCGATTTCTGAAATACACTTTTTGCAATTTTCCGGACTGCAAATCGTTAAAATCCGACCAAATCGGAGGTTTTCATCGATTTTTGGATTTTGTACTCCTCGTAGACAAGTTGACGTGCGAAAAATTTTGAATTTTTTGGGGTACGAAGGAGNTTTAAAGTCGATTTTTTTTCCGTATAAAATCGCTCTTCTTCGAATCCTGAAGCTCGATTTTTAATGATTTTTAGCTGCTTTGTAACCCGAAAATTCAAATTTCGCACTTCGACTTGTCCACGAGAAGTACAGAATCCAATATCAATGACAACCGGATTTCAACGTTTTTTTGTCATTTTTAAGCGGAAAATTGCAAAAAAGTGTATTTCATAAATTCACAAATAGCTGAAAAACTGGGAATTTTCAAAAAATGCTTTGAATGCAAATTTTTCAATCTACGTCTGTTTTACACCCTTCGAAATTTTCAAAATGGTCGGTAACTTGACAGCCGAGCTCCAGGCACTTGAAAATGGTCAAAATAGCCAAAAATTCACTGAAAAATACCGTATATCTTTCCATAAGCATATTTTCTCAGAACCGGATATGACGAGCTTGACGATCTGATGAAGAATCCGAGACCACTTCGATTCGTGTTTCATCTTCTTCAAGTTCTGGAACCCGATCAATACGAGCATGACTCGTGGCAACTTGACGAAGAAGATAAACTGAAATCCGTTGAGGCTCTGAGACAGAAAGGAAATGAGCTCTTTGTGAACGTATGTCCCAAAAAAACTCATAAAACCGAAAGCCACTTTTTTTCAGAAGGACTATAAGGAAGCGATTGATGCCTACCGGGATGCACTAACTCGTCTAGATACGCTGATTCTGAGAGAAAAGCCTGGAGAGCCGGAATGGGTTGAATTGGATAGAAAGAACATCCCACTGTACTCGAACATGTCTCAATGCTATCTGAACATTGGAGATCTTCATGAAGCTGAAGAGACTTCCAGCGAAGTCCTAAAACGCGAGGAGTTCAATGAGAAGGCTCTGTTTCGTCGCGCCAAAGCACGCATCGCTGCATGGAAACTGGATGAGGTCAGTGAGCAGAGACAACAGCTGCTCAGTTGAACTTTCTCCTTTTGAACTAAACAAAATTCTAGGCAGAGGAAGACCTCAAACTGCTGCTGCGCAACCACCCAGCTGCAGCCACTATCGTCGCTCGCGAGATGAAAATTGTGACAGAGAAGAGGGCGGAGAAGAAGGAGGATTCTCGTGTGACATACTCGAAAATGTTCAAATAATTATTTTACGATTTTTTTGCTAATTGTACTATCTTCTATGTATCTTCGTATTTTTATTTATGTCTATTTACATTCCATTTCATCCAATCTGTTTTATGAAACCATCGAGCCTAAATTAAATATCTGTGATCCCTGTCTCCAAAGGTTTCTGCTCTCAGAACCCATTGACTCCTATTTCGACTCTTTGTTATTATTCTTGTTCGGTCCAGAAGCGAAAAGAGCTACTGTATCTCGAAATTTCCTTTTTTTGCCAATTCCTCTCACATTTTTGCTCGAGAAATTCAAATTTTGTCTGAAAATTCAACGATTCGAAAATCTTGCCGAAAATTCAACAATTTCAAAAACTGGCTGAAAATTCTGAAAATCGATAATTGACTGAAAATTGCGAAAATCGAAAAATGGCTGAAAATTCGAAAATTTGTCGAAAATTCAAAATTTTCAGAAATTGGCTGAAAACTCTAAAAATCGAAAAATTTCCAAAACATTCAAAATTTTGCTGAAAATTCAACAATTCAAATTTTGCCGAAAATTCAAAATTCACAAAAATTGGCTGAAAATACTGCAAATCGAAAAATGGCCGAAAAAACAAGATTAGCAGAAAATTCTGAAAAATTTTTTAATCGAATTTTCTCCAGATTCGCATAAATAATCAGCTGAATTTCTTTATAAAAATGGAAAATCCAAAAATATTGTCGGAATAAAAAAAGTGGGACTCGGTGTTTGCGTACTTTGAATCCCGCCTCCCCCATCGACGCTCCGCCCATCGCTTTGCAAGTGCGGCGTGGTGTTTTGGCGCCACTTGGGAGATCATCGGATTTAATGAGATTTTCATAGAAAATATGATCTCCAAGTGGCGCGCCAAAATACCACGCCGCACTTGCAAAGAGATGGGCGGAGCGTCGGTGGGGGGAGGCGGGAATCAAAGTACGCAAACACCGAGTCCCACTTTTTTTATTCCGACAATAGGCCGAAAAATTATTGTGACTCACAATTTATACGGTACAGTATTAAAGGCGCATGCAATAATTTAAAATTTTTGGCCTTTATTGTTTTCGCTTCAGGGCCGACGAATCGTCGGCGACGCTGCGCCTTTGAATTTTTTCGATAATTATATCGCCGCCGTAGAAGAGTTCTTTTAAAATAAATATAATTTTTCAGCATGGTTAAGCCAATTCTTGCCATTTTCCTGTTCCAAACAGTATTCAGTATTCCATTGAATCGCTCGGATATTCTCGACAATGATCATGTCCAGCTGATGCCATTGGAAAGAGACGGTGAAATAAACGAGAAGTTCCGCCAGGAAATGATATTCTCACATAATCTGGACACTACGGACACTAAACAACTTTCTGACAGTATTAGGGAAATGTTCAAAATGTATTTAAAAATATTTTCTTCAATTTTCTATGAATATATATTTAGAACGGACAAAAATGAAGATGGATATTTGACTACAGAAGAGCTGAAAAGCCAGATTCGAAAAAATATGGAGGACCATCTGGAGAGAAGTAAAAACGATTCAGATGCGTTTTTCGAAATTATTGATCTCAATAAAGATGGATGGGTTCGTTTTTATTCTATAAAAAACGGGGAAATTATTTAAATTATAGGTCACTTGGGAGGAGTTTGAGCCACATTTCGATAATATGCATAGAAGCGACCACGATGAGAATGAACTGTTGCAAGATCATACAGAAGGTTTGTATTCCGTACGAATTCGTGCATTTTCAAAAAAAAATCGAAAAAATGCTGCGTACGCAAACACCCTGACGCGCAAATGCAAAAGTTTTCAGATCCGCATCGCGTAGAGGACGAGAAACGAATGTTCAATCGTTCGGATATCACAAGAGATGGGCGATTGGATAAAATGGAATGGCACATATTTCTGCATCCTGAATATTCTTCACAGGGTCTGGTGGAAATTGTCAATGACCTTATTGATGTTTATGGTACAGTATTCCCATTTTTACTGGTTCAGCTCAAAATTTCAGATAAAAACAACGACCGAGAAATTTCTCAGGAAGAGTTCGTCCATGGTATTCCTGGTAGTATTGATGAGTCGAACCCAGAATTCGAGAAAATGGAGGAAGAAGAAACGAAAAGGAGAGTGGCAGAGTTTACCACTGAAATTGATCAAGATTCAAATGGCAAAGCTTCGTTCCGCGAGCTATATGAATATGTCGATCCACAAAACTTCCGACGCGCTTCAAAGGAAGTTAATGAAGTATATAGTGCGCTTCAAACATAAATCCATTATCTATTTTCAGATTATGATGCTCACGGATACCGACAACGATGGGAAGGTTTCACTTGAAGAACTACTTGAACGTGATTGGTTGCTTGCTCGATCAAGCCTCCTTTCCGCGCGAAACGGCCTGCATGACGAAATGTGATCTTAAGGAGTTTTTAAAACAATTGTAATGAAGCATTTTAATATGGAAATGGGTACTATAATACATACACAAGTTTTTGAGTTCGAGGAGGGAAAAGATTGAATAAATACCAAAACCTCAATAATATTTTACAATGCTTAACGAGCAAGAATCAGAGCTGTAATACGAATGAAATGACTAATCAGTTGAAGAACCAGATGATTTGGCCACTTTTACCAGCCTGTCATGAACAGAAAGTTCGAACTTTTAAAGTGGTGAAGTGGAGAGGGGTGCAAGAAAATTAAGAAACAAAGAGGAATGAAAAGAGATTCTGAGAGGAATTCAACTACGCATTTGCCCAGCTCTCGAGATCCTCAAGGTCCTTATCCGCAGAAACAGCAGTTCGAGGCTTGGAAGCTGGGACTGCTGGCAACGCAACACTTGGCGTGTCTGGGAGAACGACTGGTGGAGCTCTCGCATCCAAAAGCTCCTTGTCAAGCTCTTCCTGAAAATGAGAATTTAGCTTAAAAATTCAAAAATGAACGCAAACCTGTTCAAGTTCCTCCAACTCGCGCATCAAGTCATCGTCATCAACCGCAGCGCTAAAACCGACTGGATTCGAGATAGCCTCTGCGATTTCGTTGGCAACTTCTTGTTGCTCAGCAATATCTTCCATCAAATCATGAACCTGGTCGATATCCATATTGTTATGAGCAGATTTCAAAGCCTTGCTCGCTTGACTCATCACGTTGAGCACTTCTGCGTTCGTTGAAGCGTTTTCGAGAGCCTCTCGCTGGAATCCAATAGTAGCCAAAACTCCATCAATATGAGCTAGTTGTTTCTCGAAATTTCTTTTTCTATTCAAACATTGCAGAGCCATTCGCTTGTTTTTTGTACCATATTTTACCGCGTTCGCCTTCTCCTGAAAATTTGAAAATTATTATGATGAACCTAGAGAAAATTAACTCACATCTACTACTTTCTTCTCCAAAAAGTCCTGTTTTTTTTCAAGCATCTCCTCGGTTTCCCGCAATTTCTGGATGGCATCTTGTGGAGTTGATGGAGCCTCCTGTTTCTTGCCTCCGAAAATTTTTCCGAACAGGCTCATTTTCTGAAATAATCGAGAAAAAAATCAGCAATAGTGAAGTGAGTCAAGAACAAGAAGGACAGAAAGAAGTGTGAAGCGTCAAGCAAGGAAAAGGACGATGACTCATCGTTTCAACCAAATAAGGAGAGGACGCAGATACTCTATGACGCCATGATAGCGTAATAGCAACGAACAAGAAAAAAACGAAGCGAGGTCGCCTGATCGAAGGAGTCGAGAACAGTGAAAAAAACTTGATTCAGTTAGTGAAGTTATATGAGGAATTCGTTAATGGCGGAAACAAACAATGCAAGGATGCGGGAAGTTGTCAATTTACAGAGAATCGAAATCCATCAAGAATGAATGAGTATACTTGAGGAATAAGCCAGTATTATGGGGCTATACATTAATTGATTATAAACAAAAAAAACATTTTTATGTCATGAACAACAGCTGGGGAGCTAGCTTGAATCTATAAAAATTATCAGAATAACTGAAAACAAACGAACTGGCGACTAGTAAAATAAGACATATCAGCTATGAGAAACCGGAATTTCGCAACTTAAATAAAGCTGAGAACCCTTGTGATTCATTGGCATAAAAGCGAGGAAGCGAGAGAATTGCGAAAGAGTTGAGGTTTTCCCGTTGACGAGGAAACGAAGAGACACAACGAGAAGAGAGACTATGCGGTAAAAGGAGACGCAGTCAGCTGAAGGAAAGCGGCTGGCAGTAGGCCAATTTCTGCGTGTGTGCCCCTTACGCCTATAGCAAGGAAATTTTCAAGAGAAGGGGCGCTACGCACGGAATGTTCGGGTCTCGTGAAAAAATTTCAACCGTTTCTTTGACTTTTTTGACGGAAATTTCGCTGATCTTCTTGATTTCTTCTCCTAATTTCCCATTTAAATAATCGCGAATCTATGTATTCTTGCCGATATCGAAATTAAGCTCACAGACTCTCACCCGAATCGATAAATTTAGGACTTAATGGCGAAGGTTGAAAAAAAAACTCACATTGCCTCTATTTGCATTTCTCCTCATTCTTTGGCTCGTCAGGAATGCTTGGTATTCCCAATAGGTGCCGATCGCATTTTCACGCTCTCTTTTCCTACACGTTATATCTTTTGACCTCTAATATTTAAATGTTTTAGGTAATATCCTTTTAAAAATGGATAGTAAAGCTATTGCGGAGAGAATCAAGAAGCTTCAGGCTCAACAAGAGCATGTCAGAATCGGAGGAAAGGTAGACTTATTTCAACTATCGGTCGGATGAAAACTGATTTCTGATTCTAGGGAACTCCACGCAGAAAGAAGAAGGTCATCCACAAGACCGCTGCTGCTGATGACAAGAAGCTTCAAAGCAACTTGAAGAAACTCTCTGTCACCAACATTCCAGGAATCGAGGAGGTACCAACTGTGTATAGTATACTCTCATTGAACAGTATCATTTCAGGTCAACATGATCAAGGACGACGGAACTGTTATCCATTTCAACAACCCAAAAGTCCAGACCTCTGTCCCAGCCAACACCTTCTCTGTCACCGGATCTGCTGATAACAAGCGTAAGTTTACTGTGTTTTGTAGTTACAACATTGACTCGTTTCAGAAATCACTGAGATGCTCCCAGGAATCCTTAACCAACTCGGCCCAGAGTCCCTTACCCACCTTAAGAAACTTGCCAACAATGTTACCAAGCTCGGACCAGACGGAAAAGGAGACGACGAGGACGTGCCAGGTAAATTCTGCATTCCTACGAACCGTCTTTAAGATTCTCTGTTCCAGAACTTGTTGGAGACTTCGACGCCGCCTCCAAGAACGAGACAAAGGCCGATGAGCAATAAACACTCCTTTCATCGATCAATTCTCGAGTCTTGTGCGATGAACAGTACGGATAACATCCGCATTAGTATATCCCATTTTTCTTGTTACTGTTGATCGATTTCAATGAATCTCTTTAAAAAAAATACTTGCTCTTCTCTGTCAATTTCTATCTTCCGCCCCCACTAGTGTTCGTTGTTATACTTGTTTTGTATACAAATTTATTCCGATCCTCAAATGGCTAATAAATTTTAGCTATGTAAAGCAAGCTTTCCACGTTCCAGTTTTCTATTCTATTCCTAGGGAGGTTCGGGGAGCAATCAAGTAATCATTGTCCCTCGGTGTCCACTCTATGATCTTGGGTAGTTTCTCTCTTGGTTTCCATTCTGTTGAACTAAATAAACTTTGCACCTAGCACACAATTTGAATTCCATTAAATGGTAGAATCCTATATGATATACCGTAGGCTCAGCAACAAAAATCAACTAATAGTAAATTAAGATTAATCTAGGCAATGACTGAAAATATCTCCAACTCGTCGACACAGCAGTTGCTCGCATTACGGGGTAAAAATCGTTTTTTTAACTGACTAAAACAGGGTACTTATTCAGTTATGAGGCTGGCTCGGCCAAAATTCGCTCCGCTCGATGGCTTCTCACATGATCCAGTCGATCCGACGGGTTTCGGAGAGCTGTTAGCTGGAAAAGTAGCGGAAATATCGAAGGAATCGCGTCACGATCTTCCTATTGGAGAATATCTCATTGCTCCACAAATGTTTGAGTGCGTTGAGGGAGTAATAAATTAAAAAGAGGTTTCCATGATTCAGGAATATTTATCTCGGAGAAACGTTCACTTTTTATGTCAACGTCGTCAACGAAAGCGAGTCGAATGTTGTAAATGTTAGCTTAAAAGTAAGGATTGTTCTGAAATTCAAAGGAGACTAAACCTGAAAGATGTGCTTTATTGTTCATCATACCATCTCAGCTCACTTATAGTTAGAAATGCACATTTCCTGGAAAACGCTATTCAAATCTGTCTTTTTTCCAGTTTTACAGACACAATAAATTACGGAATTCCGCGGTTTTAAATGCCCGGAAACTGGAAATCCGGGCGAAAAAAACCACTGTTCTCGTCCATTTCTGGAAACTTCTAGAAGGTTCTGGAATAATTTTTTTGAATTCCCCCCAAAACTGAAAACACTGAAAAATTAGCGTTTTTCTTCAATTTTGTTTGCAAAATTTTTAGACCTTTTTAGGTTTTTCAGCTATTTTTTGATAACTTTTTTTTTGATTTTTCTGATTTTTTTTGTCTGAAAATTGACAGGATGGTGTTCGCGAAGATTACTGTAGATTACTGTAGAAAATCTTCTATTTTGTAGTTTTTCATTTTGCACACAAAACAATTTTTTTCTGCATTTTGACGTGATTGTGTTTGCAAAAAAACTACAGAAGGAAATTAGGTTTCTACAGTAATCTACAGTAACCTTCACGAACATCGTTCCATCAAATTTCACACCATAAAAGCCGGACATCTCGAAAAAGAATTCTTGAAAATAGCTAGAAAACCTAAAAAGGTCTAAAAATTGTGCATAAAAATCGAAGAGTAAAAACAGTTTTATTTCGAATAATCGCTTATTTTCGGAGATTTTAGTTTTGTGGGGAATTCAAAAAAGATTCGAGAACATTCCAGAAGTTTCCAGAAATGGACGAGAAGCGATTTTTCCATTTTTTTTGAATTTTTACTTTATTTCTATGCGAATCTACATGTTTTTCTGATTTTTCTGCACTGTGTTTCAGAGCCTTCCTGTTTTGTATACCGTAATATAGTGTCTGAAAATCTGGAAAATTGGCAGCTTTGGACTGAAAATTCACTTTGAACGCAGTAAAACGGATATTGCACTGATAATGATAATTTTTCAGTGTGAACTGCAAACATCAACCCAAAGAGTAGTGCTCCCATGCTCTGTTCAAGATGTCACAATCGAATCCACTAAATGTGATGGACAGGTCATCAGCCACGAAGTCAAGGAGATCGGACAGCATATGTAAGTTTTTTAATGTAATTTTTGTTCTTCTGACACGATTTGAACAAGAAAACGCTTAAAATTTGCTATTTCCACAGCTTTTTAGAAAACCAAAATAGCTCGATTTTGAGCAATCGCAATTTCTAGAGCCAAAAACAGTACACCTTAAAAATCAACGCATATCTCAAGAACCATAAGAACTATTGATAAACTACAAACTACAAAATTGCTAAGTATAAAATTTCACAGCTTTTTGTATTTCGCAACTTTTCTAGCTACTGTAGTTTTTGAGATATGCGCCTTTAAAGTTAACGCGCCGATAGATGACTAAAAGAGAAATCTTTAAAGGCGCATAACTGGCTTTATCGAAAAGCTACAGTGATGATGCTTAGTTCATTGGATAGCTGAGAAAAAATTGACTAAAAATATAACTTCCGAGGTTTTCGATTTTGAAATTTGTGTTACAAGGCGACTCAGCAATTTAATTCGAAGATTTCGCGTTGAAAGCAACGCTAGTTTTACTGTAGTTTAGTCGTCATTAGACGCGCTAACTTTAGAGTCGCATACCTCCAAAACTACAGTAGCTTGAGAAAAGTCACAAACTACAATAAGCTGTGAAATTTTATGCTGAGCAATCGTGTAGTTTGTAGTTTTTCAGTAGCTCTTATAGTTCTTGAGATATGCGTTGTTTTTTATGGTGTACTGTTTTTGGCTCAGCTCAAATTCAAACTATTTTGGTTTTCATTTTTCAAGATGTTCCAAAAAAGCTCGCCGCGCCTCTCTCCTCTTTCCCTAATCTTCTTCCCCCCGGTTGCCATGGCCACCCTCTATATTCCCTTTATATCATCATCTTATTTCAGTCTGATATGTTCGGTCAACTACAAGACACTGTCCGGCGAGAACATGTACTTCCGAAAGTTTTTCAAGTTTCCAGTATCGAAACCAATCGATGTGAAAACCAAATTTTATAGTGCCGAGGTAATTCTTGATTGATTTTTTTTTCTTGAACTAGATTTTTGCATGAATCGTCCCGCCCAGAGTGCTGTGGAATCTATGTCGTTTTCTTTTAGGATAATGCGGTGAGCAAACGATTTTTAGAGAAATCTAGTTTTCTTTTTTTTCTAGAATCAGGATGTTTATCTTGAAGCGCAAATTGAGAACACCTCGAATTCGAACATGTTCCTGGAGAGAGTGGAATTGGATCCGAGTCAGCATTACAAAGTGACTAGTATTTCACATGAGTAAGTTAACTTTATAACTGATTTAAGTAGCTAGAAAATGTTTCAGAGACGAGTTTCCGGAAGTTGGCAAACTTTTGAAACCGAAAGACATTCGACAATTCTTATTCTGCCTCTCACCAGTAGATGTGAATAACACTCTTGGATATAAGGATTTGACGAGCATTGGAAAATTGGATATGTCATGGAGGACTAGTATGGGAGAGAAAGGACGTCTTCAGACTAGCGCATTGCAGAGAATCGTAAGTTTATTTTTTCTGCTTATGGTACTAAAAATCGGGGCCATGGCCGAAGGTCCTACAACGAAAACTACCGTAACCTAAAAATATTTTCATTTTCCGGATTTATTGTCTCGATTTTTGTGCGTTTTTTAAACGGAAAATTATATATCTTTAGGTTACGGTAGGCCAACAACAGCTCCAATTTTTCGTACCAGAATAATATCTACTTTTTTTCAGGCTCCCGGCTATGGTGATGTTAGGCTTTCCGTTGAAAAGACACCCGCTTGTGTTGACGTTCAGAAGCCATTTGAAGTAGCTTGTAGACTTTATAACTGCTCGTAAGCTTTTGTATTGAGAACGAGAATATCCAACTAATTTCAGCGAACGAGCCTTGGATCTTCAACTTCGTCTCGAGCAACCATCCAATCGCCAACTAGTAATCTGTTCTCCATCAGGAGTGTCTCTGGGTCAACTCCCGCCATCTCGATATGTAGACTTTGCTCTCAACGTCTTCCCAGTCGCCGTTGGAATTCAAAGCATCTCAGGCATCCGGATCACCGACACATTCACGAAAAGGCACTACGAACATGACGATATTGCACAGATTTTCGTCAGCTAACATTTTATATTAGTTTGTTGTGTAAATAGTAACTTATTTCAATCTATTTATTTGATTTATTTGTATAGTTATGACTGAAAAATGGGTTAACAGATGATAAAGATGGAGACGTGCGTCATCACGTCTATAAATATGTATAGTACAGACAAGAAAGACATCAGGGGTCTAATAGAACATCTACAACTTCTTTGATCTCTCAGCAGCGTCGTGCCAGAAACACGACTTCATGTTCTCGAAACGATCATAGCAGGAAACATAAGAATAGTCGAGAAGAGTGACATTTCCAGGTCTTTGATCACAGAAAGTCAAGCATTTGTCACCGGCGAGAGTGGTTGTGACTCCATTTCGGATACAGCAAGCACGATGATCTCTTCCTTGAGCCGCGCAAAATTGGATTTCGGCGGAAGCAGCCAATGGGCAAGCATCTTGACGGAAGTACATCCGGGTCAACTGAAAATATGAATTTGCGGGATTTCCCGTTTTTTTTCGGAAAGTTTTAAAAATTGAATTTTTGCGGTTTTGCATGTAGAGTTTTCTAGGCCAAAGTAGTGGCCTGATAATGCATGTTCTAGGACATTTACAATAGTGGCCTAGAAAACTCAAATTGCTAAAGTTAGCCCACTATTTCAAAATGGACCAGGAAACCCATCAGGTGAATATGAGTCGATCCTAGGTCATTTACCATAATGGCCTAACTTTTGCAAGTTGAGTTTTCTAGGCCACCAACTTTTATAGTCTGGAAATGGCCAGATATTTACCTGATGTGTTTTCTAGACCATTTTGACATGGTGGCCAAACTTTTGCAAATTCATTTTTCTAGGCCATCATGAAAAAATAGCCAAGAAAGCCTACCAGGCAGATTTCTAGTCATTTCCAGGCCATAAAAGTTGGAAAAGTTGGCCGAGAAAACCCAATTTCAAAAAGTTAGGCCAACATGCCAAAATGGCCTAGGAAATGCACCAGGTGCTTGTTTTACCATTTTTGGACCATCAGCTACGGCGGCCTAGAAAAATAGCTATTTCTAGGCGACAAAAGCTAGTGGCTAGCTATTTCTAGGCCATAAAAGCTAGTGGCCTAAAACCTCAACTTGCGAAAGTTAGGCCACTATGTTAAAATGGTCGAGAAAACCCCACCAGGGGAGTATGAGTCGTTTCTAGGTCATTTAAAATGATGGCCTAACTTTTCTGGGCCATGAAAGTTGGTGGCCTAGAAAAACCCTATTTGAAAAAGTTAGGCCACCATGTTAAACAACCTAGAAGACGCATCAGGTGCATGTTAGACCATTTTTAGACCATCAACTACGGTGGCCTAGAAAAATCTTGGTGTGATAAGTAGACATGAAACCGAGGTGTGTGATTTTCGAAACCTCGTTCGAACATTTTTTCGAAAGGCAGTTCAAAAGTTTTTCAAAAATCACACACTGGTTTCAGTCATTCGCAACTGAGCGTATTTACAAGACGTTCCGAAAAAACACCGAAAAGTTTATCGAGATCAAAAACTTACAGATTCTTTAGAATAGGTATTGAATGTGCACTTCTGAAGACAAGCGTCCGGAAGTCCTCTTTGCTCACAACATTGCATGAATAAGGCATTCGGGTCCTTTAAAAAAATGGTTTTCAAAAATGAAACAGGTTTGAAGGAAACAAAAAGGATAAAGAGAGAAAAAGAGACATGTCCTTAGCCGTGTCCATCGGATTATACGGTTTGATAGGCACCACGACCAACCGGATAGTACTACTCACCGTCGCTTGTTGAGGAGGTGTCGGCTGTTGTCGTCGGAATTGCGAAAATCGATCAGCTCCGAATAGAATTGGTCCTTGATGATGTGTTCCAGCAGCATGGACGCGAGCTTTTGTACGATAGCATCCGTATGATCCGCATGAGAACCCAGGACCACAACCGGATGATGCACAAGGGGATGGGAGGGCGGGGAGAGGATTAAAGCATGGTCCCAGACCACAAGTTCCAGATGCAACACACTGAAATTTGGGAAGAAATTGAATTTCGGTTTACTATAATTACTTATGCCGTATTTTATTTCCTCTACTGTATGATTCCATTATTCTAGAATTTTCTTTAACTATACTTTCTGAGTTTCTAGAAAACTGTATTTGCTATAATTTGTTTTTTAATAAAAATGTTGTTAGCTGATAACATATTGTTAATACTATGATAAACAATTTATCAGTTAACAAAACTTTAATCTTTCCCAGGAATGGAGATAATTGAGCTCAAAGTTGACGGTATGGGTGGGTTTTTTGAATTTAGAAGGAATACGGTAATGGGCAAAGTCTACGCTGTGGCCCATTCAAGAATTCGTAATCGTGGCGAGACCCAAAAATTCTAGAAAATCCGGTTTTCTAGAAACTCAGAGAGTATTGTAATCAAATTTATTGAACACTGAAATCATATACAGGACCGGTTAATAAGATACACAAAAACGAAATTTTCAGTTGATTTTCGACAGTTTTGAGCATTTTCAGGAGCATAGAGCTCGGTTGTATAGTTTCCGATCACTTTGAAAATTTTGGAAGGTATAAAACAGACATAAAAAACTAGGAATTCACAGAATTTTTTGAAAATTGTTAGTTTTTCGGATATTTGCCTTTTTCAAGTTTTCAGTACAAAAAGGGGTGTCCTACAGATATCGGCAAATAACTGAAAATCTAGAATTAAAAAACATTCTGTGAATGCCAAGTTTTCAATCTTGGTCTGTTTACAGCCTCCAAAGTTTTAAAAATGAGCGGAAGCTTGACAGACGAGCTCCAGACTTCTGAAAATAGTAAAAAATGACTGAAAATCAACTGAAAAGGTACTGTTGCTTTGGAATAGGAAGTAAAATATTTAGCTTAATTTTCTGAAGAGGACATCTAGTTATTAAAAAATAGAACAATCTAGAAATTTTTTAAAACTAAATTTGAATCCTTCAGAAAATAAAATAACGAGCTCACCGCATTCGCAGAAGACCAAAAAGTTGCAAAAAGAAGAACAACGGAGAATGTAGAAGAGGAAGTCATTTCAAAAGGTGAAATTGATGAGTTTATTATGACGTTGGTAGCCAAATCCGCATTTTATAGTCGGAAATGGGCGGAGTGCGCACAGTCCGTCATCGGATGCTACTACTATTGCTGTATGCATATATGACAACTTCGCTCATCTGAACCGGTTACGAGACACACACGGGGGTTTTGTAATCGAGAGAAGGGCCAAAAGAAAGTGGATATGCCAAACGGTGCCATTGAAAGTGACAGGTGAATGTGGTGAAGGTTATTCAGAGAAGTAAACATTGAGCTTTTTGAATAAATTCGAAATGCGACTAATGTGTATTACAGTTACTGTAGCTATGAGGATCATGTGGAAGCTAGACCGGGAAAGCAAAACAAGCCCAACTACGCGGACTGATAAAAACGAGTGTATCTTTAGACATGAGTATTTTGGAAACACGAAAATTGGTAGAAATATAATTTTAAATTTGATTCAAAGCTACTGAAAATTCCAAAACGATTCCTCAAGTCAAAGTATTGAGATGAATCAGCTTCGCCAACAGATAACTGTGCTCAAAGTTGATCAGATGATTTGAAACTTGGCCAGTTTACTGGTGAGTTTTTTTTAAATTTTTTACATTTCAAATGTTAGCCCAGTACAACGATTTATTCGATTTTTATGCTAGTACAAACTTTAGACCAGGTACATATCCACTATCCTGTATAGTTCTCAATCCAGTCATCAATCTTTTCAGCAGTGAATAATTACTGTAGAAATTAGAAAGGTGTCATCTGACCTAGTGTGAAATTTGTGGTTCTTTTACTCATTGAGTTTAAAATTCTAGGAAAAACTCATTCTTGCACATTACCGTATTTCTTCTCATACGAAGGCCACCCTATACGTGCACTTTGAGCTCAATTATCTCGATTCCAGTGAAAGATATTAAAATTTTGTTAAGTATAAAAATGTTGGTGATAATATGCTGAATAGTTTGTCAGTTGACAATTTTTTGTTATCTTTCACATGAACTGAGATAATTGAGCTTTCAGTTCAAGGGTATGGTGGGCTTTTACTCGAGGAGCCCCCCTCTCCCTAGCTCTTAACTTTGAGCCAATTTTTCTCAGTACCTGTCAAAGATATCATAAAATGGTTAACTGGTAGCTTGTTTATCATAGTATCACAAACCTTTTATCAGTTAACAACTTTTTGGTATCTTTCACATGAACCGAGATAATTGAGGTCAAGTAAAGGATGGGCTTCTATTAGAGCAAATATGGGTCCAGTCCTTGTTTTGTACCCCTAGTTTTTCTGTAAAGAAGATGATACATGTATTTTATCAGAACCCTTGGAAAGAAATCCAATCATTTTTCGGATGTTTGTCCTTTTCTTTTCGTGTTTACTTTAGAAAATGTAATCCTGTCTGACCTGAATGAAAGTTTGTACAGTATTATGCGAAACACTTTTTGCATGTTTGGGAAACTGTTTTTTCTCTGACTTTTCCTTTTTTCCGTATTCCGTTCACTTCGGCTAAAAGATGTAGCAAAGTATATTTCGAACAATTGGTTGGCAAGCGGATTACGGTAGACGTAATCCACTTTATCCGGCCAAACATACTAGTACAACCTGTCCTTGTTCAGCAACCAAGACGGAGCGAAAATACATGAAAAGAAGCAGAAGAAGAAAGAATTGAAAGTGTCCTTGGGGAAGCCTATGACGAGCCGGCATAACCTTCGGAAGACAGAAGAAGCCGGAAGATAGAAGTGGAACGATTCGAAAGGCTCATTGCGTTGATGATGCGGAAGAATCCGGAAGTTTTTTGTGGAATAAAAAAGTTCAATGAGAACAAATTGTACAAAATATGATGCCATTCAACCTATGATGCCGTTTAAATATTTTCAGCACACATCAATTATTTTTTTAAAGAGAAAGAACTTTAAAATGCTTGTTTGGGGGTGTGAATAAATGCCAAAAAAGTGAAGGTAACGACTCGAGAGTTGTAAATTTGGTTTCATTTTTTAAAGAGTCGGAGATTGAAAATTTGTTGATGCTCGATACACAAACTTTCATCATAATTTCTTACTATGAAAACTTCAAACTTCAAAGCACACTTTCTCAAAGTATCTGGCATTTTCAGCAAGTAAACTTCACTCTCCAGACTTTCAACTATAAATCTCTTTTTAGCCTTGGGAATTAAAGCTTCTGACTTTCTAGGAAACCACTGAAATTGAAAACAACCTAGAATATTAGTTTTGAAATTTCTTTAATCGTGACCCAGTTGTTTTCTTAAAGGTGGGGGGGACAGGAGATTTTTCGTAGTTTTTTTGTAGCTAGAGTATGCATTCTACCGTCACGGTGTACAACGCTTAATGTCACTCTGCGTACAGCTGTCGTCCTCGCCTTTATGTATGCAATCGGGCGTCCGCTTTCTCTTTGCCCGCGTGGCTCAGTCGGTAGCGGCGCCGCACCCTCAATCCTCGCCTTCACAAGTTCAACTCCTCGAGGGGCATCTTTGAACGGAATTTCGAGAACATTATTTTTTTCATGCATTTAAAGAGGAAATTCAACAAAACTTTTTTGTTTTTTTTTTCAGTACATCAAAATGTGTAGAGAAATACGTAGTTTCACATAACAACTAAGAAAAAATTCGGAAAAAATGCCAAATCTCGAAAAATCGCTTAAAACGCAAATTAGCGGTTTTTTGCTTTTTTTCGAGGGAACAATGTATTTTTCGTACAATTTTTTGAGAATTTTTTAAAACCTCTATTCTATTTTTGACGATTCTTCATCGATTTTTTCGGTGTTTTTTGTCTCAAATTTGATGGAACAGTGTTTACGAAGATTACTGTACATTACTGTAGCAAACGATTTTTTTTGTAGTTTATTTTTGCTGCAGTTTCTGACGTTGCAAACAAAAATGTACTACAACAGGAAATATATTTCTACAGTAGTCTACAGTAATCTTCACTAACACCGTTCCGTCAAATTTCAGACAAAAAACCGGAAAAACCTAAAAAGGTCTAAAAATTCCCAAAAATCGAATGAAAAATTGCGAAAAATTTTGGCGGGAATTTGGCGGGAATTCAAAAAAAAAATGATTCGAGAACCTTCCTGAAGTTCTCAGAAATAGATGAGAACTTTGATTTTTTTTGAATTTTTTCTTCATGATATATGAAGTTACATACAAATTTTGATGCAATAAAAAATGCTACAAATTTTGGTCGTAGTCCCCTTTTCACATTCCCACAGTTCTTAGCCAATTATCTCAACTAGTACGTAACTTAGGTTCTTCCTGCGTCACAGGATTTATGGGTGACGAATTGTATTTTCAACTGTTTTCGAAATCTTTCAAAAAAAGTAGGTATCTCCCACGAGACTACAGACAGCACATATAAACACCTCATTAAGATGTCATGATTAACTCTAACCATAGATTTCACTCTTTCTCTCTCCCTTTTTTCACAAATACAGCCGTCTACTGCCCCGTGTTTTTTGTTGTTTTTTCGCCTCCTGACTAACCAATTTCTTCTCCTTTTTCCAGTTTTTTATAATTCAGGGGGAAATGGATTCGGGTGGAAAATGTGCGAGTGAAGTTATTCAGATGACTTTAAGATCAGCTTTAATGATGTTCAATCATATTTTTATTTTATTGGTTATCACTGCGAGCTTCTTCGTAAACGTTTTCACCGTCAAAAAACTCTACAACCATAATATTTTTCCGGAAGGCACTAGAATTCTCTTATGGTCTGCGATTGGAAATGGATGCATTCATCAGATTACAGTTGCAGAAATTCGAGTAAGTGGTTCGACTCTGACAAAAATATTGCGAAAAACTTTGAAAAATCCTTTTTTCCCTGCTTCTATCTCCTCATGGTGGCCTAAATTTTGCAAGTTGAGTTCTCTAGGCCATCAACTTTTTTGGCATAGAAATGACCATACCTGGTGAGATTTCTAGGCAAATTTGACACGGTAACCTAAACTTAGTTTTTCCAGGCCACCATGGTAGACCGCCTAGAAATGACCTGATATTCACCTGGTGTTGTTTTCCTAGGCCACTTACCATGGCGGCCTAAAAAACCTTAAATTAGTTCACCATGTCGAATTGACCTAGGAACCTCACCAGCTTGATACCGGATCATTTCCAGGCAAAAAAGTTGGTGGTCTAGAAATCTTAACTTGAAAATGTTAGACCATCATGTGATATGTCATAGAATATCTTCGGCTTGTCATGACGGCCTAACTTTTGCAAGTTGAGTTTTCTAGGCCACCACAATTTTTAATCTAGAAATGACCTGATATTTACCTGGTGTGTTTTTGGGCCACTTACCATGGTGGCCTTGAAAACTAAAGTAAGGCCACCATGTTTAAATGACTTAGAAAACTCACCAGCTACAGGGCGGCTTTTAATTACCGGCGCATGCTTGAAAGAGGCTTTCTCGAAAAGTAAAAGCCGAAAACTGATGAAACGCAACAAGATATTTTTTTGGACGCACAAAATTTACAATCAAAAATAATTTTTCCATTCGGTCATTCTTCGCCTTAGTTACGGTCTGAAGACGTCTTGGATAGACGTTGATGGTGGCACGCACCAAGCTTTGTCGCATTTCTGAAACAGTGTCTCTTCGAGAGCCTCGAAACTTGGATGGGATCTTGAGCAAATCTTCTTTTGCAACACTCTAGATGGAATAGTCGAGGGGTTCCAAATCCGGCGAGTAGGCCGGTCATTTGTCCCCCCAGGCAGGTGCGCCTGAAACCACGGCTGGATGAGTTTGACGGTGTGGGTTGGCGCTCCTTCATGTTGGTGAATCGAATGTTCCCGTCCAAAATGGCATTTGGTGCGTGGGATCAGATGCTTCTTCAAGATTTGCTCAATATACGCTTCTTTGGTCTTACGGACGTTTTGTTCTATAAAATTTGAAATTTGAGCATATCGCACCAAAACCCGCAATGCTGGACGGGTGGAAATCTTCAGGAATGGGGTTTTCCTTCTCGAAGCTTTTTTGATATCCTTGGCTGAAACACAATAACTTTGAGAGTGGAATTCGACTTCAATCGGAAACCACTGCTCCTCAAAGAAAACGGGCCCCGAATGGTTTCCTCACTGCGTGCCAACCAGAAGAAATTTAGGCTTCTCCAGACGCTATTGCTTACTGCTTTCCGACAAGATGACGTATTCTAGAGCACAATAGCATTTTGGATCAAGCTTCTTTCGGGCTGTCTTTTAAACCTAAAACCAAAAAAGACCCATATTCCTGGCCAGTTTTCTGAGCGATCTATGTAGGCTACTCCTGATTTGACCTCGAACAGCTTCAACCTTCTCTGGAGTGGTCACCGTAGCTTTTCTTTTTCTCCCAATGCGACCAAATAAAGGTCCAACCACGGTGAATCTTTTGATAACTTTGGAAAACCGCCTGTTTCCAATCCTAAGGCGTTCAAAGATCTCGTTTTGACTAACACCCTACTTATCAAGACTGGTGACGCAAAATTTGATACACCAAATGCGCGCCATCACCAAGAAACATGGCGCCAAAGTTGTGCGCCGGTAATTAAAAGCCACCCTGTAAATGTGTTGTCATTTCCAGGCCAAAAAAGTTGGTGGGCCTAGAAAACACATCTTTGAAATGTTAAGCCGTCATGTTAAATGACCTCGAAAATACACCAGGTGCATGCTAGAATATTTATGGACCCTTAAAGATAAACCTTTTGAAAAAAAATTTTCAATTTGATTTTCGGAGAATTCAGATTTTGAAAATTTGTTTCGCCATAATATTAGAAAAACATGGCTTTTCAAACATTATCGCAATAAATAACTTTAAAAAATGGGTCTTTTTGATAGCTTATCACCATCTATCGCGTATTGGTACATGGTTCTGATCGTTGCACAATTCTGTTCCCTTCCTCTGGTTGTGTCTATGAGCAATATTTCTATTACTACACCAACTTCTTCACCTCATTCTGCTGCATTTCCTTGTTTTTCGATCGTCTTCTCTCGACGAATTGTATCGCATATCAGTACAAGTACAAGTTCTTCGTTATGATCTTTTTAACGTTTCAAACAATTCTTCCGTTATTCATTCTTATATGGGTTTATTCAAATGGAAACACCGATGGATATGTTGCAATGTGCAACTATCCACCAATGTCAGTTGCTTGGAAATATTTCTATATTAATCGACTCCGACTCGTTATCCTTGGAACATTTTTTATCTTATCTATTTGTATATTTTATTATAACAAAAACGTTGAGAAGAAGTAAGATTTCAGATTTTTTTTTACATCACGGTGTTTTGACCGGAACGTCAGTACCGGTCAATAGACCGGTCAATAATCCAGTACTGTATTAGACGTTCTGAAAAAGTAGTCTAGAGCTTGGCTGACAGTCGAGCTCCAGACTACGGAAAATGACCAAAATCAACTGAAAATTCGTTTATGTGTATCTTATTGAAACAACCGTAACAGAAGGGTTCACTGAATTAAAGGAGGCCAGACACCAAAACAAAAGTTTTCATGATATTTTGCATAGAGAACCCCCATGAGGGGTTGAACTCATGACAGGCAGCTCAGGGGTACAGCGCTGCTACCGGCTGAGCTACGGGGGCGCGAAGCCGCCTGACGACCGATGGTCTACATAACCGCGGCGCGATTTCGTCCCCCGAACTGTCCCCCGAAATTTTTGCTGTCTCGCCTCCTTTAAGAAATTGAGCCAATTTTTTTCGATTTCTGTCAAAGATATGAAAAATTGTCAACTGATAAATTGCTTATCATCATATCAAAAAGTGCTTTATCAGTTGACATAATTCTGGTATCTTGCATAGGGATTGACATAATGTGGCTCAAGCTTGCCAGCTTGGGGGCTCTGCTATTACCAGTTTTACGGTTACCGTAGTACAACAGTAAAATTAGCATTGGTCTCGACTTGACTACCCACATTCAATCGAAAAAAAAAACGCATTGAAAATTATTTTGGAAAAGTTCCGGGGAAAATTTTCTTCATCTTTCAATTAATACTTTCAGAATCATCCACAAAATTTATGACACCGTTTCAAGATACAAGTCCTATGAAAATGTGTTGGCAACAAAAGCCGTGTGCATTATCATTGTCTCTCAAACTGCATGTCTTGTTATCACTGCCACTGGAAGTGAGATCAATACTATTTTCAAAAAACGAATTATCTACTCCACAATTTTATTTCAGCGGAACAGATCAGAAAGTTCTTCTCACCGACGATGATGGATCCATTAACTGGATTTATGACAGTAAGAAATCGGACTTAAAAATGAATCAGCAAGAAGATTTTTCCAGGGAGTGACTTATTGCAATTTCTGTTTGCCAATCATCATTCTCTACCAAACATCTCAAATCATCCAACGTCGTAAGCGAGCGATTCATGAGTTGACTGATCAAACTAAGGACTCATCAAATGAACATTTTATTTCATTGCGGAACGCATGGAATCACATCACAAAGACATAGTCTATGAATTTTAATCGAGCCCTTTTCATCCTATTCACACTCAAATTTTCAAATAAACGGTTACATTTTGAATAGTGAGGAGCATTGGGTAACAAAGTATCTGAAGTCATAGGACTGATAAAAACGGGTATATCTTCAGTCATAAGTATCTTGGAAGCACAAAGTTTGGTAAAAATATAACTTTACGTTTTATTCAAAGCGACGGAAATTTTCAAAACAATTCCTCAAGTCTAGGTATTGTTATGATTTTCCAAAGATGAACGGAATCGTGATTTTCATGAAGGGAAGCAACTTTGACAAGCGATTACTCAGCTCAAAGTTGATCAAATAATTTGAATCTAGGCAAGTTTACTGATTAGTTATTTTAATTTTCGCATTCCAAATATAAGCGAATTACAACAATTTACTCAATTTTTGTGCCAGTACAAACTTGAACCCGGGTTGCTTTTAGCTGTATATTTTTGTAAAGCTGCATTTTTTGAATCCATGAGAAATATTAAAGCGAGTCATCTGAATGTTTCAATAATAAGTTCGAAAGTACGAACGGCGGTATAACATCAAAATACCCTGAAGAACAATTTTCATCTTTCTTTTATTACTTTTAATTTAGAGTTTTACACAAAACTAATCAGAATGATGTTTCATTCATTGTTTTTCCAGGTTTCCGGACTCTAAACTACAGTACAACTCGTTTTGGCTGGGTCTTTTCTTTGATACAAATAAACATAGAACTCTAATTTTTGATGGTCTCGACGAGATATCGGAAAACGAGTGATAGTTTAGTGTCTGGGAATCTGGGGAAAAAAATGACAGCTGGAAAATACATTGAAGGCTCTAAAATTCAATAAATTTAGTGTTTGAAGAATTTGACTTGTTAATTGAGACTCGTTAAACTCACCATCTCGTTAAATTCATCTAAATGAATCATGTTCCTATCATCTGATTTTTCTATTCAAGAAGAAAGATGGGCCAGTGGAAGAGCAGTTGTAATAGAATTGAAAAAAAAAAACACAAATGTGTGTTGGACTTCAATTTGATTCAGTTGTTTTGGCCCACAACGAAGCACTCGATGTAGGAAGCTACTGTTCCTATTACCGATACTGTAAAAATTTTGCCCGCATCGTTAATTTTCTATTCCTTCGTTTCCTTGTTATAAATTTCCTAATGGTAACTCGAATTCTATAAAACTAGTCAAAATTCAGAAATAGCATCCTATTACTCTCCGTGTCATCTTAATCCAATTGACGTGTTCAAAGTGATGACTGTCTGTAGATTGATCTCATTCCATTTTCTCGAGTCTGAATTCCAAAAATAGGTAATCAACTACGTGATTCTATCGAGTTCAAACCATCAAGTTTAGAAAGTCATTCTGTCAAGTGATTCTACGACAATAACAAACTGACAAATTACCATAGGGAATACGGATTTATTTCTAGCCTCTTCTCTTTTCTATATACTCTCTTCTCGATTCTGATTAGGCCCCTCCTTTTCATTCTTCTTTTCCTTTCATTTACTCACTTTTCGTTTTCGTATGAGCTCTCAACTTGAGATCAAAATGGCGAGTACCGTGCCTCCGGTAGACTCTCCGTGTGCGCCTCCGGAATTGCATGAGAGCTTCACCTCTCCAATTATGTTCTTTTGTCACAGTTTCATGAGTGTCATCATCTTCGCAAGTTTCTACTTATCCTACCGTGCTCTGCAAACGTTGAAAAAGCAAAATGTTTTTGGGATGAGCACCAAGATCCTTCTTCAGTCTTGCATCATCAACGGAGTTGTTCATCAGGCAACTACGGCATTCATCCGGGTTGGTTTATTTGCTTTCTAGTTTTGCACTCATTATTCAAAAAGTTGCCCTCCCCCCTCTATCACTATGGAAATAGTTTAATTTTCAGTTCCGAGCCCTCTACCGTGCCATTCGCTATTTCCACGATCCGTGTTCCATCCAGTTCTCATCTGCCTCCTGTGTCATCGAAGGCCTCCTTTACTACCACACCAATCTCTTCTGCAGTGTTGTCTGCCTTTCTCTCTTTCTTGATCGCCTTGCATCCACCTACATCCACAAATTCTACAAATCTGTCCCAAAAAAGGCAGCATACACCTTTATCGTCATTCAAATACTGATCCCTGCTCTCATTCTGTATTGGGTTTTCTACGATGCAATCTACATTGGATACGTTCCACTTTGCAACTATCCCCCGAAGAATTCTAATGAGAAGTTCTACATCGTCAATGCCACTCGTATTTGTATCTTCTGGATTATCGCAGCTGCGTCGATTGTTCATTTCTACCAGAGTTTCAAACACGAAAAGAGGTAAAGATGCTTTACTAAAGAAGCTGAGAGTCTGTCCCAAACAGTATAAGTATTTTTAGAATCATCCATGAGAAATACGACACAAATGCTAGATACAATGCATTCGAAAACCTATTGTGTTCCCGCGCTGTCTGTTGGATCATTTGCATTCAGGCGGTCTGCCTGGCAGGGACTTCCGCCATTCGTAAGTTATAATTTATGTTAGAAGCTATGATTACTGTTAGGTAGAGTGAAATGACGAGAGAAAACACAAAATATTTATTTCAGCTTCCATCTTCAACATCTACCGTGGATCGATTCCAACTGCTTGGTTCCATGGGGCCATCGCCTTCGCCACAGTATCCATTCTAGCTTTTCTCTTCTAACTAAGATTTTATTTTCCAGGGGTTAACGTATGCGAACTTCTTCGTCCCAATAGTCATCACCTTCGAAACCAACCGTATCATCAGACTCCGCCGATCGAAGATTCAGTCTCTGAGAAGGCAGACAAATGACTTCGACTACCACCATGACTTCAAGACTCTTCTGGAATCTTCCTACAAGAAGATTCATCCAAAAACCTCATGACATTCTAATAAATGTTGTCATATTTCCCTTCGTTTGTATGATTTGTCATTTTGTCCAACGACATCTCTCGTTCCTCGATAAACTATTTTCTTTTGAATAAAATCATAACAGAAACCTAGACATAATTTTTTTTGAAACCGGAAAAATGCAATATTTTTCGAAATATGCTCTAACAATTTTTTCCGAATACCCACCGTTGGCAAACTTCGAAGGATCATGCGAAGTTTATAGTCTTTAAATCGGTACTGTAAATACATCAAAGCACAAACAAGATTCAATAAATACAACAAGAAACAATTGAATTGTAATAAAACTAAATACGATTCTGAACTACTTTAATAAATCATTCCACTACTCTTTTCGGTGGTTTTCACATGCAAATCAAAATTTTGGTTTCTCCTATCATCGTAAACTGAGGTTCTGTAGATTCTGACTTCCAATTCTAGATTCTTTCTTGAATTCAAAATGATATATTCCGGGAATGGAGCACCTCTGAAAACAATTTTATTCGAAGAATTCTATAATTACCCTTACCTTTCACTCTGGACAACCTTGGCCCCTTCTGACATTTTAAGTCGGTTCAGCACATCCTCCGAAATTTTATTATTCTCTATTTCTATTGAATAATGTCTTTCTTCATTCAACTGCAAACTCCATTTTACGAGTGAAATAATATGAGAAGATGCATAGCTACCGTATCCTTTGAAATGAACCGTCTCATTGGAAATATATGGGAGAAGCTCCTTTAATCCGACCATTGTCAATGTAAGATTTTGAGCAATCTTGAAAATCGGCAAAATCTGGTACAGTCCACTGAAAGTCAGCGATTTCAAGCTAAGTATGTTGGATTCCAAAGTAGCCGAACGGAAATTTAACATTTTCAATTTCTCAATTCTTGTTTTTCTGTCTTTGAAAACCTCATCAATTAGGTAACCGGTTGCTTTTTCCATATCGGTTTGATATTTCAAAATTTCAATTTTTCGATAATTTTGAGAAGAGATGATAAGCTGAAGATAATAAAGGAATGGGGGTTTTGAAGCGTTTTCATAGTGCTCAAGAGTCAGGAGAATGTGTTGAATTTTATCTCCAAGATGGCTCAATCGTTCTCGATCATGTTCTTCTGATTTCTCCATTTTCTGCTCGATTCGTTTCTTTTCTCTTTTTAATTGCGGAAGTTCATATTTCAAAACTGAGGGGTCCAAATTCTCTTTAACCCCATATTCATCTACATCATGTGGAAATCCCCCAGCTCGATTTTTTCTTTGAATGAATTCTGGAGTTTTGCCATTTTCATAGATTTGGACCACACCCAATTGATAAGTTGTACAGTCGATTCTGAGCATTGATCCGGTGATATATAAGTTATTTATCTTTGAAGGAACCACTTTGTCGAGATATCTGACATCTGGACATCTTTCTGATAGCAAGTTTCTGGAAGGTTATATTTTTAGAGAATAAACAAATTAAAATAACTTACCGAGTATTAAAATCGAAATGGGTAATTATACATTTCCGAACTTGATAAGAAAGCGGATTCATTTTCAGAAAAAGGAGGAAAATCAATAAAGCAAATTAGGAGAGAGTAGGTTGCACAAGTGACTACGTCTGCCGAGTCCGCATTCTTTGATTTTTACCAAAGGATACTGTATTGATTTTTATAAAGGTCCTGAGAGATCCAATATTGGAAAATTGTCCATTCGATTATAGCAGTGTTCAGAATTATGCTCTCTGGAGTTTATAAAAATTCCTAGTTTTCTCAAAAAACCAAAAAAAATTCCAAAGACCAAAATAACTCACTAGAGCCTTTTTTTTCGGGTGTTTTAAATACATCCTTCATGGTACAACTTCAAAATTGAGTTTATTACAAAAATTTCAAAATTTCAAAATTTTTGAAATAGCTGAGCAGAATGAAGGCGATCCCACAGTTTAAAATAATTTCCTTTATTTCGTCATTTTTTAACCACCGAGACTCTTTCTTCTCCACAAAAAGCTTTTTTGATCAGTTCAACTTTTTTCTTTGCCTTTTCAGATGTTTCCCTATCATTTCCACTTGACCAAACTTCAAAGAATCGTCACTTCTGCTGATAGTAGTTGACATTTAGGTTCCTTCTTGGTGACAACAGGATGATAAAACTTTCCGGTGACATCAAGGAATCCAATCAGGCGCCGCTAACTGTTTGAATGAATTTTTTTATTTTAATCAAATGAATAAAAATCTGTTATCATAATCAAATGTTTGTTTTAAAACACTTTGGGAACTTGATCCTGCAACGCGTCTGAATAAACCTTAAACAAAAAAGGATGGTGCTGAAAAATTCCACTGATAAGGTTTAAGACCCTGTTCGTTATATTTCACAATTTTACATCAAACTACAGTTCTGGAATGGAATGCAAAAACACTAAAAAATGACATGGGCCATGATTCATTTCAAAACCTGGAAAAAATGACTCACACCGTCTGGAAATATGTGGTAAAAGTGTTGCAAAGTTGCAGAAATGGTAGGATGACTCATGAGAAATGGTATGATGACTCATGAGAAATGGTAGGATGACTCATATAAATGGTAGGATGACTCTGCAGAAAGAAAACAATGAAGATACAATAAGGTTTTGATCTGAAATGGAAAGTTCAATAGATGAACCTAATTAAATCTATACTTGAAAAAGGATATGATGGAAATGTATTAAAATAGTGGGTTGATTTTGAATAGCGAGAGTTACAAGCTGATCTCCTAACATCCACTCGATCCTGCCTGACGCACCGGTTTAGCAGCACCCTTTTATACCAAAGAGGAATTCAAAAAGATCCATTTTATATCATTTTGATGAGCTTTTTATAAACAAAATTTGACAATTTGAACATTTTCGATAAATTTATTTTGAAGCAAGTTATTAAGGCAATTTATAGTAAGCACTAAAATTTACCCCAAGGACCTTCACATCTATCAACTTTGAGCGCATATATCTCGTTTCCTGTAAAAGATATCAAAATATGGTCAACTTATAAAATGCTTATCATAATTTTTGAAATAATTTGTCAGTTGACCATTTTTTGATATCTATGACAGGAACTGAGATATATAAGTCTAAAGTTGACAGCTTGGGTCGCCTTCTATTAAAGTGTTTGCGGTAAAAAAACTGGGGTGCTTTATCCATTCAACTTTATTACCAAGGTTTTAAAATTACCGGTTTCAAAATGACTGGTTTACCTGGTAAACCTCCTGGCGACTGAATATTAATTTTTTCTGGCACACAAAAAAGTCGGAGCTGTGAAAGAGAAAAAACTACCGTAACCTAAAATTATTTTTCTAGATTTTCTTTTCCACAACTTTTGTGTTGAAAACCTCTGAAGTACCGGCATAATGGATACCGTAAAACCTGTAATAGAAGGGCCTCCACACTGTCACGTTTGGGCTCAATTATCTCAACTTTTATGCAAGATATCCAAAATGTGTCAACTGACAAAACAATTCTGATATTATAATGAACATTTTCTCAGTTGACAACATTTTTGTATCTTTGACAGGAACCGAGAAATTGGCTCAAAGTTAAAAGTAAAGGGACCCTTCTATTACAGGTCTTAAGAAAAGAATTCCCCCCAAAACAATTTACAGCTTTTTAATCTTTGCAATCTAAAACTAAAATTCCTGTCGATTCTATTCCAAGTGAAATGTTTACATTTGTTCTTTTCTATAAATTCAGAGAATGACGCATTCATTCCAGTTAAGATTGTCAGCATACCATACACCTAAACTGTTATAATCCTCTTCTAATCGTTTTGTCCGATTTCAGCTAACTATCTTTGTAAAAAGACCATGTTCTTCCCTGCCCTATCATCGTAAAAGTTGCGATTCTTCTATTCAAAGAAAAAAAAAGTTATTACAATTCCATATTTGCTCATGTACCTCTTCTTTTTTGGCGCCTTCATTTCTTCACCTCCAATTCAATCTTCTGAATCATCATCGCCCTCTGCCCTCGATTCTGATGATAATGATGATAATTCTTGTGCATTTTTTTCTCTTGAAATGCACTGAAAAATGACATTTCCACCCGCAATGAATATGATTCAGTGCCTACAAAGTTTACTCAATGGTTTCAGAACCGCGATAAGAGAATAGGCGAGCATGAAAGCCGATTGGGCGATGATAGGGGAAAAGTAGGAGGAGATGGTGGTGTCAGTTTTTCTGTTGAAACATTTTTATATAAAAATTGTCATTTTCTTTTCTTAATCACCTCAATTTTTCTCTAAATGACTCAAACCAAACCTACGACTTGCAGAACCAAAGGATGGCTGCATCCAGTGGAAATGGCAAGATCTTCGGACGATTTGATCCGATCCATATTGCTCTTGCCGTCATTTCAGTCATATTTTTGATTCTTTCCATTGTTTTTATTATTCTTTTCGCTACTAAACATGGTGAGTTCTTTTTCTTTATCCTAGTATCTAGGACCAACTCCAGCGGTTGGGGTCTCCAATATGGTCATTAGAATATTTCAAAACACCATAAAACCATTGTTCCGAGGTAGAGGGTCCTATATTAGAGGGGCCATTCTGATACATGTTTAACCGAATGTGGTCATATTTCCCATCGAGGTCTAATGCTTCTAGCCTAAAAAAATAATAAAACGTTTCGAAATTTATCAAAATTCAAAACCTCAATTCTGTAAATGTGCTAAAATTTGACAAAAGAGTTAAGGTACTTTAAGCAAAAGCTATATAAGAGAAAGCTTGAAAAAAAGGGAACATGAGATTTTTTTGGAGTTAAAGAATACCGTAAAACCTGTATAAGAAGAGCCCCATCCCCCTCACTGGCAAGTTTGAGTTCAATTATCTTGATTCCTATAAAAGATATTGAAAAGTGCTCAACTGACAAAATGTTTATCATTTCATCCCCAAAATTTTGTCATTAGACTACTCTTTGATATCTTTTAAAATAGCCAAGATAATTGAGCTCAAAGATGACTGGTTGGGTGGGCTTCTACATTTTAGATGAAATACGCTTTTATGAAACATTTCAAAATTGTTTTTTCCGAAAAATGTTGGCATCATAGACAGAAGGCTTAATGTCCTTTAATCAAAAGCTAATTGGGCCAAATTTTTTGAGGGGGGGGGGGTTAACGTGCCCGCTCTAGCTTCTCCCGCGTGGCTCAGCCGGTAGAGGCGCCGCACCTCCAATAGTTCTTCTACAAGTTCAATTCCTCGAGAGACAAAATTTCGAGAAATGTATTTTTTATGTTCCCCACCTTTACAGACACCTCTACTGGATTCTTGGCTACTGGATTCTCGGACAGTAAATCTTCCGACGTGTCAAGTGAACTGAAAGGTCTTCTGAACAAGAAATACACCGTGAATTCGTTTGCTCTAGATGTCCAGTTAGTTTCTTCCATTCCACTTTCTTCTATCTTTTCTTTTTTTCAGAAACAAAGCAGTCAGTGCGGTCTTCTCACTTCGGGATGACGTATCCACGAAAGATGTTCAGAGTGTGCTGTCCGGATCGAAATTGGTGACACAATTGGAGACGACTTGTAAGTTTTCTAAATATTTTTCAATATTTTCTTAGTGTGCGGGGAGATTAAAATACCTCAAAATGTCTCTAAAATGTGTGAAAGTTGTTGGTTTGATAAGATACAACCTCTTAATGATAAGCGAGCAAATAGCGCACATTTTTACGATTTATGATCGATGACGAGTAGGCGAAAAAAAAACGAAAAAAGACGAAAATATTTGCAAAAGTGATGAAATACAGTACCAGCCATTTTGACCATTTTCAGGAGTCTGAAACTCGGCTGTCAGGTGTCCGATCCCTTTGAAAATGTTAGAAGGTGTAGAACAGACCTAGATTGAAAACTTAGCATTCACAGAATTTTTTTTGGAAATTCCTAGTTTTTCAGTTATTTTCCGATTTTTGAAAGATACCCCGTTTTTGTACTCAAACTTTAAAAAATTCAAACCATGCCATTCTGTTAAAACAACCGACTTTCTAGCTCATCTAGGAGCTCAGATAAGGACATTTAAAGGTTTGAGGGCTAGAGACGCAGGGTGTCTCGTCGTCTGGTGTCTCTAGCACCCCAAAATTTCAAATGACTGTATCTCGGCTTCTAGATGAGCTAGAAATGTGATTTTTGGACAGAACTGAAGGAAATTATGTCTATTCTGAGGAAATCAACAGAAAATCAAAAGTTAAAAAAGGAGCGAGAGACGGAGACAACGACTGTATAAAATCCGTACTCAAAGATTTTTTCAGATGGAGACAAAGCTACCGCAGTATGCCGTCAACAACCAGCAGTTTCTATCATCTCCACTTCTCTTGCTCCAGCGACCAGCGCTCCCACAAATGCTCCACCAGTTACCGGAAAATGTAAATTAAGATATTTCGATTTCCTGAAATCAAAAAAAATTGCAGATTGTAACAACAACGCAATCACTCGTGACATCGTCATTGTTGTGGACATGAACGATCTTCCAAAGAATGATCACAGCGAGAAGATGAACAGTCTGGCTGCCATCCGTGACTCATTGACCAAAGGAATCACTTTCCCACAAGCCAACGTCTTCTTGAAGGCGGTTGTTGCTGGAGACGTCATTGATGTCACCGCTAACAATAAATGGATCTCGGATTCCGTAACTCTCACCGCGGATTTCAATAAACTTCTCGCTATCAACAACTTCAACAATCAGTCTTCTCTTATCATTGCTGACGTCTTCACCAAGTCTTTCACCACTTTGAAAACTGGAAGACAATTTGTCCCAGGAGCACTTTTCATTGTCACTGACAAGCTACCATCATCAGACAGCAAAGTTAATGTTAATCCAAGAGATTCTGGAATCTACATCGGATATACTGGAGTCCGAAAGAACTACATTGACAAATACAATACCTTGTCTGATAGCATCGTCACCGCCGAATCCTGGACTGATCTTGGAAAACAGGATCCATTCGGAACACTCGTCTGTTCTTGTAAGTTTGCATTGAAATTAGGTGTTCTTCTGAAAAATGTGTATTTTTTCAGTCTACCAGCTTCCCGCTGCACCAAAGGCCGGATTCGAATTCTTCAACTACCCTCTTGGTGAACTCGATGCAGGTGACACTACAAAATGCCAAGTCCTTGATATCATCATTGCTTTCGATATCTCTGAATCTCTCTCCAGAATCATTCTTCCAGTTAGTTGATCCACATCTTAATTTGATTTTGATTTTCTGTTTTTCAGAAATATGTTGCTTTTGCCGAGAGATTGGTTGCTCAATACAAGTACAAGGCCAACGATTTCACTCGTGTTGGAGTATTGACTTTTAAGTAAGAAACTTGAGTGGGGATATTTAATTTTAATTGTATTGTTTCAGCGATCAAGTCACTGAAAAGCTCACATTGGTAAACGGAAATGACTTAGCCGCCGTCAACGCTGCTATTGATTCTGTCCAATACGTCGGAGGACTCACTGATGTTACCAAGGCGCTCAAAACAGCCCAACAACTCTTCACAACCGAATCCGATGCATCTCGCTCCAAAGTTCTCATCGTGCTTTCTGACGCCGTTCCAACTGTTGACACCTACACCGATGAAATTCAAGCTGGAAAGCAATTGTCCGCTATGGGAGTTGCCACGTTCTTCATTGGATACAACCATTACAGTGACGATGTTAAGAAGGAGTTGGGACAAGTCACCAATCCAAATTACGTTTTCGGAGATATGTCTGATGCTTCTTTCAATGGGGTCACTACACAAATTCTCACCACGTATCCATGCCCAAAACCAAGTAAGTTTCAAAACCTGACGTAACTTTTGCAAAATGATATTTTTTCAGAATGTGTCACTGCCTACTACGCTATCGAAATCAGTGAGGCTACCGATGATTACGTTGTCGAGAACCTCAAAGACATTCTCCTCATTTCCAACCAAGCGAAAACTCAACAAACTGGAACCGAATCATACCAACTCATCACTTACAACGATATCGGAAACACTCAGATCAACCCAAAAGGAGATGCTTCTTTCGACGCCTTCCAGAAATACGTTCAGGCTTTGATCGACAATCCAAACCAAGTTGCGGCGCTTCGTAGAGGATACACTCGTCTTGATAATGCAATCGATGATGTGACGGCTGAATTGAAGAATCAAGCAACCAAGAACTCCCGTTTCTCTGGAAACATCATCTTCATGGGACAGGCTAACGATGCAGTTTTGAACCCAAGTGTCCCCGAAGCACAGAAGATTGCCCTCCTCCAAGCCTCTGCAGCCAACTTGAAAGCTCAAACTGCTGGACTCATCTTCGTTGTTGATGATTCAAGAGATGTCACAGACTTTGGAGATGATCTCTGGAGCAGTGTCACCACCAAAAATCGCATCGTTCAGAAGGCTGATGACGTTGTTGCTGCTCTCAAGGGAACCGACTATTTCCAAACATGGAAGGCTCTTTCTTGCTCTCTTCCAGCTCGGTCAACTTGCTACGATACGCCACTTGACGTCGCCGTGATCATCGATCTTCAGAAGAAGGACGACTACGTTTTCCTCAACTACATCACCAGTCTTCTCTCTCAATTCTCTTCTCAAGATGATACTCACATCTCGATGCTTGCCTACGGAGCACGAAAGACTTCTGTGCTTTCCAGTTTGTCGGCTCATAGTTCTGCTGATGTGCAGAACTTTGCTGTCCTTTATACCGACTGGAGCAATGGAACCTATTTTATGACTACTACCACTGAAGCTCCAACTACCACACAAAGTAAGCAACGAAAAGACAACTTATACTTTCAAAAATATTTTTTCAGAAACAAAGAACATTTTCACCAACGATTTATATCAAGTGGATCAAGGAATGATGAATGGGTATGTTTATAAAAACGAAAAAAAAGTTTATTTGCTATTTTCTTCTTGGGAAGCATCTTCCCCATTCTTTTGATTCTCTTCCCATTCGTATGGATCTGTCAGCGTCTTCGGAGCGTAGAGAACTTTGATACATTCAATCATCTGATCGTAGCATGGTGCTTTACTCGAATCCATCTCAGAAACCACTTTGAAAAAATCGATTAGAACCGATTTCTCTCCTTTGAAGAATTCTGCATTCACTCCGTTTTCTGTCTGGAAAACGTTGAAATTTTTGAATATCGATCCAAGTTTAAAATATTACCATGGCCTCTTTCAACTGAAGAACCTCTTGTGACTTTTCGAGATATTTCCACGGAAGTTCTCCAGAAAGTAGTTCATAAGCAGTGTACATCACTGAAACCATATCATCGTAGGGCGCTTGTTCGCAACGACGATGGACGCGGATCGAGACGTAGCGAGTGGTTCCACGGAATCCGGCACGAGCTCTCTGTTCTCTCCATTCTCCATTCTCCATTTTGTATCTCCGAACTAGGCCGAAATCCAGTAGAATTAGAGTGTGATGGCTCGATGGATAGATCCCGAAACACATATTCGCTGGTTTGACATCTCGATGCACGTATCCAACGTCGTGAAGATCCCGAAGAGCTGTTATCGATTGATGAATGATTCGTCCTACCGAACATTGACTCAATCTTTTATTCGGATTATTCTTCTTCATATCTCCAACGTTGATACTCAGAATTTGCATAACTGAAATCAAGACATATCTCGAAAGATACAAGACATTAATTCTCACTCATGAAGTTGATTTTATCCGTGTAACCAGATCCATACATCAGCGGAACATGAGGTTTCCCTTGCATCTTGAACATCACATGTTGCTCCAGAATCATCCTCTTCGCCAATTTCCCTCTTCTCTTCTTCGGCTCCACTTTAATCGCCACCTCTTCCCCTTTCACAATATCCACTGCCAGATAAATCTCTCCATATCCACCTTTCCCAATCAATCCCTCAATCGACCAGCGCTTCAAAAATTTCTCGCTCAATTGCAAATGGCTCGGCTCGTCTCCTTCGATCTTCTTCATTTTTGGCAGAACCTCCTTGTTCGCAAACGACTTTTCTTCGTTTTTTGGAATTTGTGTAGTCTTTGGATTCAATTCATCTTGGATTGCTGTTTCCTTGGTCATTATTTGATCTTTTAGATTACTCTTTCACCATTAGCAACAGTACTTCGAAATGATTAGTTTTATTATTTTTGATCTCGGAGAATCCAAAAAAACAAAAAATTTAGTGTTAAAAAAACTGAACCTGGCAAAAAGACTCAAGTGACCACGTTTTCAGAGTCTTCTCTGCTCTCGGAACTCAATTTGGATGCGGACACTACAGCGACGACGGAGACAGAATCTTCGCTCCAAACCTTTTCATTTTCGCTTCTGACAACTTCGGAACCTATCCTGCAGCAGTCTGGAACGACTTCCAGACGGAATTGCACAGCAGATACGGTTGTTGGGATTGTGCTGGAACTCCTCATTTCTTGTTCCTCTCAAGAAATGATGCGGCTGCTCCAGGCATCCTTGGAGTGACTTATAAGCTTACCGACACTGATTTGGATATTGATGCTACGGATGACACATCCACTCAGGCCAATATTAATTTGTTCAACACAATTGTGAACTCCGTATGTGTCGCTCCACTTCCAAGTGAGTTAGGGTCCTAACATTAAGGGCCCAAAATTTTTTATTGCATCAAAATGTTCGAAAAGTACTTTATTTTTTAAAGAGTATCTCGGAAATTCAAAAAAAAAATCCAAAACCCCCAAAACGCCGTTAAACTTTGCTAAAAAGAGTGGCGAATAGGGACGAGGATTTGATGTCTCGCTTAGTACTTTAAAGGCGCATATCTCAAAAACTAAAAATGCTAGAAACATTTTGCCAACTAAGAAAAGTGTAAAATTTCCAGATGTACATTTTTGTTGTTTATACTATTTTGATAACTACAGTAGTTTATTAGATACAAGCGCTCAAGAAATGTGCCAAATAGGGGAAGAGGATTAGAGTTTCGCCGTTGCCTAGGTTTCTCACTGCACGAAAACTCTAATATCGTCTCTATTCGGCACTTTTTTGAGCGCTTGTATCTCATAAACTACTGTAGTTATCAAAATGATGTCAACTACAAAAATGTAGATCTTAAAATATTAAACCTTTTGTTTGTTGGCAAAATGTTTCTAGAATTATTAGTTTTCGAGATATGCGCCTTTAAAGTACTAGGAGATCAATCCTCGCCCATACATTTAAAAATTTTTAACGGCGCTTGAATTCAAATTTTCCAGTCCTCTGAAAATAATCATCAATTTTCAGCTTGCTTCTCCTACACATCATGCACAACTTATCAATAAAATATCCATCTCTGATTCACTACCCGACGAGCTTTAATTTTTCATCTGTTTTCTATTTTTGTTTCAATTTCCTTTTATTTGTTGACAAAATGACGAATGAAATAATAAGACATTCATTTTTTATTGAATTCTAAAACAATGAAAAGAAAAAGGGGTTCGTTCAAAAATGGGACTGAAATGTAGAAAATAGGATTGCGAGAGTGGATAAAAAAGGCTACATGCAAAGAGAACAATATATAACTTACACGGAAAAACCGGCATTGAGTTTTTCTAACTTTTCCGCTTGTTGAAAAAAAGGGTGATTAAGAGACGGAAAATTAAAGAAAAAATAGACCGGTGGGTTAATTAGATTGCACAGTCCTGGATATTAATAGCGGCTTTGGTTTGGATAGGATGGTTGATGATAGTTTGATCGAATTTCACAGAAATGATACATCCATCGAATCCGGCAAAGTCATGACCATCGGTGGAGCCCTCTGGCAGATGGTTGTTTCCTGAAAAGGAAATTGAAAAATAGATTTGGAAAACTTCTTATAGTTAGTCTCACCAATGAAAACATTTCGATACACATTCAGTTGCTCAGCACCATCTGGAGCAAACGTGGAGATTGGATCTTCTCCATTCACCGAGAGCTTCACCGAATTCTTCTTTCTGATCACTTCTACAGTATTCCATGTGTCCTCTACGATTCTCTTTGGATGAGTCAAAACAATGGTTCCTGATCCTAAGTTCAATGCGAAGCGAACGAATTTGTTATTGTCAACTGACAATTCAAAGAAGTCGTCTTCATGAGTAACGTCTCCAGCGGACACGAGGATCTGACGAAGATGTTGAGTTGTGTTCTTGATTTTGAAGTTGACAGCCATGTCGAGAGAGTCTCCAGTGATACTGAAATATTCAGAATGGGCATACTTGTAAAATTCCCGGCCGGGCCGGGCCTGAGGAAATTTTCA